ATGGTTCACAAATCGCCTTTTTAAGCAAGATGGCCACCAGGAATGCCGTTTATAATTAACTTTCCTTTCAAATGCGTTTGCAATTGGTTTCTGTTGAGAAGAGCTTCTTACCATTGCACAGATCAGAGAGGGCGCCATTCCTTAGAGCATTTGTTTTCTTTACTTTGCTGACCTCAGGAAATGACGGTAAGTATAATTATAGGATTTAGTCTAATGACAGGCATCAAATGTATGTGAGCTCCGGAGTGTGAAATTGAAAAGCAAAGCAGCTTTATGCTATTGTTTGCTTGATGAAGACTCCTAACATGCAGCTGACTTTTGAGGGAGTTTGGATTTCATCATACCCATTTAAATGACTGTTACTTTCCTAAGTGAGGTTTTGCATAATTCAAGCAAGAGAACCTCAGAACCTTCTCAAATGAATCTTGACGCTATAGGCCTAGTATATTTGGTAGGGATTTTGAGAGAATGCAGCTGTATAGGAAAGCCACGAGATTAGTGTCAATATAAGCAATATACAACACAGGCCCTGTAAGCTGTTCTTTACATATGTAGAGCTATGGAAAATTTAAATGAGTTCCCTATGGGTCTTCACTGTGAACGACATTTCTGATGTGTTTGCCTACGTAGCTTTAATATGGGAAGTCAGACTTTGCTTTTCCAGAGATGCCTGCATTGTGTCTTAAGTTCTAAAGTGTGGATGTCAGGCTGCTGAGCAGATTGAGGCAGGTCACACATCAGCAACCTTCCATGTAAGATTCGTGCTGCTGCACCATTTTCGCCTGCATGTCATGATAAAATGGAAAAGTCTCTTGAAATGGAGGGCAGGCTTTATATAACAATCAGTGGTGGGATTCCATATTAGAAAGCAAACGTATTGCATACAAATAACGTTGAGCAACAGGTCCTGCTGGTAGCAACTTAATCTGTAGCAGATATTAATGCCGTGGAAGTGTGTGCATTAATGAATGTGAAAAAGAGCAGGTAGAAAATAGCCACGTTCTCCGCAACTGAAGACTGACTGTCCTGGTTGGAGTCTAAAAGTGATCTAATAGACATCCAGTAAAGGGATGAGGAATTTAGCCATAACTAGTTTAATTTCAGTTATAGTTGCATTCTTTTAATTATGACTGTTGGCTTCTTAAGTTAGAATCTAGGAAGTTGCTTTTTTTTCTTGCCAGGAGAGCAGCAGCACAGGCATATTCATCTATCTTGGTTAATGCAGCGCGCTGTCTTGGCGAGCAGCTCATTAGCCACCAGGAGCAGAAGTGGTCTGTAGCATGCTGACCTGAGTAGCCTGGTCTTGACAGTGGGCTTTGTAAATTCAAGAAGGTAGGCTGGCATTTTAATTGGGAACTTTGTTCAGAGAGAAATCATAATAGATCAAATAAGACAGGGATTCTGTTCTGAAGTGCTCTTTTAACCTAGAGATGGTACTGACTAATGTAAGAGTCCTGTAGACGGGGAATCCAGGTAACATTTTTTTCATGGTGTTTTGGTCAGCATTGAGCAACTTAAATACCTTGCACTGATATATGTGTGCATGCAGCAGATGCTTTTTATCGTTGAAAAATAATCCGTTCTAACTTGCTTTTCCTTTTCCTTTACTTCCCAAGACACTGTTAATTGTTTTGTAAAGTGCGTAGGAATATAGTAACAGTAGTTAAAACAAATAGCCAGAGGTGAGTTTGGCAGCACTTTAGTTTGTGGGCTGGCAAGCTGTGCCGGCCCTGAAGCCGGGCAGGCATGCTCTGTGGTGGTTCAGGCATGTTCAGGAGTGCTGCAGGAGCTGCTTTCCCCCTTCTGTATTTTTTGGGACTTCTGTTTGTTTCGTTTTGGTCTTATTGTGGGGGTGAGGAACAGGGAATAGGCAAGTTAGTCCAAAAATAAATGCACCTTCATCATAGCTACAGGTTTTAGGTACTTCACAGCAAGGGGAAGTAAAGGCTCTGAGGATACTGCCCAGTGCATCTCGGGACTTGAAACCCGTCCAAAGTTCAAGCAATCCTCTGAGATTGGTGCTGCTGCAAAGATTCTGTTAACAAAAGGTTAGAGAGGTTGAAAAGAAACCTCGTTTCAGCCAGATGCTTGGGACTTCCTGCGAGCTGCTGTAGTTGAAAGAGGTTTTGGTGTTTTGCATCCTCTGGGGAGGCTAAGCTGCTGTTCCCCTGAGCTGTCGTCATGCTTCCCTTGCCTTCCCCGCCTCCCCCCCCCCCCCCCCC